CTAATTGCATATCAAATTAATGTTTAACTACAGAGAAAAGAGTTATTTCAAGTGACTTTAAAATACAGTAATTTGACTGTGTATGCTTAGTGAGAATACCCTAAAAAATAAAAGATCACAATAAAATCTTAATTTCTGTTCAATAATCATATTGTTAATCATATTGGTTTTGTTTGTTATATATTATAGGAAAATGAAATAAATGATTGTATTAAGCATCAGGAACAGGATTTTAGTATAAGAGGAGAAAAAAGATAGAAATATACAGATAAAAAAGTTAAAACCCATAATTTTAAATTAAAATCGTATGAACTGATGATGTATGTCCTTTTGGAAAACAAAAAGGCCAAGTACATGGCTCATTCCTGAAATCCTAGCACTTTGGAAGGCCAAGGCAAGGGGATCACTTGAGGCCAGAAGTTCAAGACCAACCTGGGCAACAGAGCAAGATCCTGTCTCTACCAAAACAAAATCAAAAACAAAAACAAAAAAAAACTCCTCTAACTCTATCAATAACATGTAGAAACAATGACCAATGCAGTAAATGATCACTCCCACAGTGTCCAGACTGTGGTGTCCAAACACTATTTTTCACTATGAAACCAAGAGTCCCTGAAGAAATGTCTAGTTCCAAATCTGGGGTCGAAAATGTATAAGATGAACCTGGAACATCTCATCATATTACAAAACAAGAAAGTATTAAAGACTAATATAGTTGTGTCAAAAGAATTAGGAGCCAACTTAAAGAGGCTCCCACTGGAACGCATGAAATAATTTGAGCTACAGAAGGAAGACCAGCAATGGACTAATAGACATCAAAAATCTTAATGATATGTGGAATAAACATCTCACTGGCCACTGAACCAAATCATCTGAAAGCATATAAGTAAAGGGAAATAATCAGGTATTTATCCTGGTTTTCCTATATGAATTATACTTCATGGTAAGCAATGGTAATAAGGGAAAGTTCTTCTTTAAGCATTCCAGTGAATAAATGAAGAAAATAGAGATAAAATTAATGTTGCAAAAATTAATAAAATAATGGATCTAAGCAAGATTATCAACAGCTATTAAAATCATTTGGAGCTGGGTGTGGTGACTCAGACCTGTAATCCCAGCACTTTGGAAGGCTGAAATGGGCATATTGCTTGAGTATTGCTTGAGCTCCAGAGTTCAAGAACAGCCCCGGCAACACAGTAAAATCACGTTTTTACAAAAAATCAAAAAATTAGCAAGGCGTGGTGGTGCATGCCTGTAGTCCTAGCTACTTGGAAGGCTGATACAGGAGGATAACCTGAGCTCAGGATGTCAAGGCTGTGAGTAACCTGTGATTGTACCAATGCACTCCAGCCTGGGTGACGGAGTGAGACCCTGACTCAAAAAAAAATAAAAAATAAAATCATTTGAAACATTTGGATTCACTCATCACTAAATGTGATGACAACATCACTAAAGAGAAAAACCAGACATTATATGCCTTCAAAATAACGCAAGAGGAAGTACACAATTCTACTTACAAAATGTTCATTCCTCCTATCTCTAGCAACTATCAGACTCAAATCTGATCAAGCTTCTAGATTTAGATACCAGTTTTATGAAAACACATGGAAAAGTCGGGCTCGGTGGCTCAGCCTATAATCCCGTGCCTTTGGGAGGCTGAGGTGAGTGGACTGACCGAGCCCGCGGGTTCGAGACCCACCTGGGCAGCAAGACCTCATCTCTACAATAAATCAAAAACTAGCTGGGCCTGGTAGCGCATGCCTGTAGTTCCAGCTACTTGGAAGGCTGAGGCGGAAGGATCGCCGGAGCCCAGCAGGTTGAGGCTGCAGTGGCCGGGAGCGGCCACTGCACTCCATGGAGTCTGAGCGACAGAGTGAGACTCCAACTCAAAAAACAACAACAACAAAAAAAAAAAACATGGAACAAGAGAACTTGTTAAATCACACCACAGAGATGAAATCAGTAAAATCCAGACTATGGGAAACTCTACTCATTTCTTCAGCAATAAATTGCAAGGGAGAAAAAGCGAAAAAAGATCTTAAATTTAAAAAAACATAACTGGTTGGGCTCAGTGGCTTAGCCCGTAATCCCAGTACTTTGGGAGGCCAAGGCAGGTGGATTGCCTGAGCCCATGGGTTCGAGACCCAGTCGAGCAACTTGGCGAGACCTCGTCTCTACAATAAATCAAAAAAATTAGCCAGGCGTGGTAGCATGTGCCTGTAGTTCCAGCTACATGGAAGGATGAGGAGGAAGGATTGCTGGCGCCCAGCAGGTCAAGGCTGTGGTGGCCAGGAGCGTGCCACTGCACTCCAGTCTGGGCGACAGAGTGAGACTCCAACTCAAAAAAAAACCATGTCAATCAATGCAGTGTGTAGACCATCTCTATACTCATAAACATGGAGTCACTCAAAGTTATTGCTATTACCTCTAACACCAGCTGCCCCTACAAGAATAGCCAGAGTTACAACAGCTCTACAACTGTCTCTAGTCCATAGTAAAGGCAGACACTGAATGCCCTTGACCCTGAATTATCCACACAGGAGCTGCTACAGAAGTCCTGCTGTCAGAATCACAATTGCAATATGTGTGTTACCATTTCCACTAGCATTTACCTTTTTTTACAAAAAAAGTCTTAATTTCTTAGCACTAGTAATATCTAAATCAAATCTCTCACACAGAAACAAAATAATCACAGTTTCCTTGAGTAGCTACATTCAGAGAGTTTATTTTCACATCCCTCATTCTCTGTTAACTTCCAGTGGCTTTAAGAGACATCTCTGAGATGTCATATGCAGCTGTGCTAGAATGACTTAAGGCTCAAAGAGACGTACAATTCTAAGAAGCAAAGGAGAAAATATGGGAAGTTATAGTTCCTAAGAGATCCAGAGGACACCTGGAAAAAAGGGAATGAAAAGCAGAAGCATGGAATATTTGTTTTGCCCAAAGGAATTTCCTTGAAATAACAGTAATCTTTCTAATAAAGTAAAACTTCAGTAAACTATTTGATAAGTACTAGAAAGGAAAAGCAACTATCAATAGATGATAATTTACATTAGCTTTGTAACAGGGGTCAGCCAGGTGAGGAGTCAGATGGTCTTGCTGTCTCTTACCTTCAAATTTTTAACTGGTGAGTTTGGAACATGTTTGCAACCAGCATTTTAAACAGACTTTCGTATAAAAATTATTTCTACATTTAAGACGACTATATTATAGTTTACTACTATACAGATAGAAATGCTGAGATGGATTTTCTAAAATTACTTAAGGTCACACATAAAAGAACATTTGAAGCCCATTATTTCCCATCACTGATTGAGACATTAAATGAGTATCAGAGCCAGCTGCATCCATATCCTATGGAGTGAAGGAATATTGACTGCATCCTTATCTACGTAACCTCTTCCTTGCTATAGAGAACACATTATACATTACTAACGCAATCAAGACAGTGTTGTTTTCCTATTTGAGTACTTGCAGTTACCAGTTCACAAACTAGAATATGTCTAAGCCCCAATCTGTCTTAAGCTATATATTATTCAAGTTAAATTCGATGAAAATACCAAATATTTCTAAATTGCTTCTGTGCTCTCTTTGACAGACTATAAACATGAATATGAATTCTGCTTCCCTCTGATCCCTGTCTTATGACTTACCAACACTGTAAAAAGAAAATTTCTGACACTACACTATTTGTCTTTCATAGAGAAAAACACAAAGATACAGAGACAGGCTAACTGATTTAAGCTAAGTGGGAACTTCAGGTTTCCACGTTTATTTTCCTCTGCCATTAAGCGGCAATTGTCCTTGAGTTCAGCTCTCAGCTCCTTGTCATCTAATATTCCCATCATCTACTCATACAGAAATATTTAGGAGACTGAAGAAAAGGCAAATGGCATGTCCTTGAAACCATCTTCTTTCCCCTACTTATCATTTACTTTGAGGAGGTTGCGAACTAGATATTTTCTCTGAAGAACCTACAGTAATTAATTTCAAGCTTATCATTTAAAATTTTCATTAAAGGCATTTGTATAGTTCTTTGACATTTGTTTTGACAAGATTTAACCTATATTTTGTGAATGTTAATTGCCTAGGTGTTTAGGCACTATAAATTTGGGAGAAAAAAAAAACAAACTTGAGGTAAGCATATCTACTCATTTGCCATCACTAATGTAAATTTACATCATTCCAAATTCTGTTCCTGTCTGCTGCTCATATGAATTTACTTCATTTTTAAATTCTTTTCCTGGTTGCCACTGATATGAATGTACATCTTTACAAATTTTGTTTCTGAATGCTGCAATGTTTTCATATGTATGTGTTATCATATTTTGGTTGAAAATGAATAATGAGACAAGGAGAGAGAAAGGTAATTGCGATAATTATCTGATAGCGACTGCACAATGTTGCTACTGATTTACATAGTTAGTAAAAATTGCAAGTTGGTCATTATTTTGTTGTGATTAGTGTTATATACTTGTATTTTGATATTTCAGGGCTTTCATACTACAACATTAAAAAAATTTACCATAATTATGGAAAATGAAAAGATAGATTTCCGAGGTCAAAGGTGAATCCAGTGAACTTATTAGTGATTTAACGATGCAATGTACAAAATACAAAATGGCAGTCAGAGTGGATGTCTGAGGCAAATACTGAATATGTCTGCAACTTTCAGCTGTGTTGTGAAAAAGGTGACAATTTAGAAAAGACCATTTCACTTGTGCTTAATGACAGAAGCTTGCAGCAACCAGCTTCAGGTTTTTTTTAATTTTCACCCATTCTCAGTATTAGGAAAGTGAAAAATTTGCCGACTGTGAATGTGTTAACGTAAGAAAACAGAGTCACCTCCTATCTTGACAATCTCAAACTGAGGGACAGGGAGTGGTAATTTCGGAACTAACAGTAGGAACCTTTGTATCCAAAGCATAAGAACACATCCACAGTTTTCTTCAAAATTCTCATTTACCAACAACAGAATTATACAGTGAATCACCACTCACCTTGTGCTACTGTTGACATGACCACAGATGGTGTAGAGGACACCACAGCTGTTACTGCAACTGTATTAGGAATAGGTGATGGTGTGGAACTGCTGCTGCCACTGCTGCTACTACTGACCAGAGAGGACTGTGAAGCAGTTATAACAACTGGTGGCTTCTGGGTTGTAGAAGCAATGACTGATGTTGGTACAAGCTTAGTGACTGCTGCATAGTTATGAGATTTGGAGAGAATGTTGGGCACGAAGGTTGAACTTGGTGATGTGGTCACTATAATAACCTAAGGAAGGGAAAACAATTTATTTTCATGTACCTACATACTGCTGATATATCTAGACTCACAGTTAATTATATACAACTCAAAAATACTTATGAAACATGAAACAATTTGACACAGAATATAAAACTAAAAATATATAAAAGCTTTCCTTTACTAGGAATCATCAAAATTTGTTTAAAAGCAATTATTTTTACCAATCAAATATTTTAAAAGATAACATTCAGTGCTATGTAAGATACAGCAAAGTAAGTGTTTCAATATACTGCTCAGGGAATATAATTGGCACACTCTTTCTACAAAGTAATATAGACATTTGTTCACTTATAAACATTTATTGAGCATCTACTATGTGCCAGGCATGGTTTGAGATGCTGGAGAATAGAAGAATAAACAAAATAGACAACATTCAAACTTTCAAGGAGCTGACATTCTAGGAGGGGGAGAGAAAGAATAAACAATAAAGTAAACATACATCAGGTAAAGATAAATGGAAGAGACAATACAGTGGGCTAAGGGAATAAAGAATGATGGGAGTGCTGCATAATTTTTTTAAAATAACAATTCAGTAAAGACCTGTGAGGTGACATTTGAGCAGAAACCACAAGGAAGCAGGAATATGAGCCATGCTGCTACCTAGAAGAGCATCCAGTGGCACAGGGAGCAATGAATACAAAGGCTCTGAAGCAGAAGCAAACTTGGTATGCTCAAGAAATTTCAAGGACCTGACGACCGGCACGGGAAGTTATAAGGCAGAGAGTAGTAGGAGACAACTGGAGAGAAATAGTGGAAGACTAGATCGTGGAAGATCGTGTTGACAGTATACACCTTTGATATGATGTGATGACAGTGGCACTTTCTCTGTGGCCTTCTTCCCAAAAAAACCAAACATTAATCACAAGAAAAACATCACACAAATTCAAATAGTGGGGCATCTACAAAATACTTGACCAGTACTCCTCAAAACTGTCTAGGTCATTAAAAACAAAGGAAGTCGGAGAAAATCTCAAGTCAAGAGGAGCCTAAGGAGACATGACAACTAAATGTAATGTGGTATTCTGGAACAGAAAAAGACAACTGGTAAAAACCTATGAAATTTGAAAAAACCATAAATTCTAGTTAATATTAATGCATTAATACTGTTAATTAACTGAAACAAATATACCATACTAATGTAAAATATTATGAATAAAGGATACTTCTCAGGAAGTTGGTAAAAACAAAAGAATAGGAGAGCAAACTGGAAGCAGAGTACTTGAGAACTCTCTGTACTATCTTCTCAATTTTTCTGTAAATCTAACACTGTTCTAAAAAATAAAGTCTATTTTTTTAAAAAAATCATTACTCTGTCTGCTAGACAAAAATACAGTAGAGCAGTGGAGGTAGAAAGAGGGAGACAAATTAGGAAGCTCCTGAAACAAACCAAGCCGAGACGATGGTGACCAAAGTGTTGGTGGCAGAAGTGCTGAAGAATGAACAGATTCTAAATAAATCTTAAAGGCAAAACCAATAGGATTTGCTAATGGGAGAATGGAGAAAAAGAAAGGCAGGAAAGAGACATCAAGGTTTAGCCAGTACAGCTAGAAATCTGTAGATGATTTAGGAACAAAGCATTTCCAACAGAGAGAATAGTACGGAGGAAAGGACCTAATGTCAGAAGTAGCTTGATGTATTTAAAAACAGAAAGAAAGCCAGTGCAGCAAAAATATATAAGGCAAAGAAGGGCTTGAAGAGTAAGCAGAGTCCAGATCAAACATAGTAAAAACTTTAAATTTCATACTAAGTATGATAGAAAGCAACAGGAAGAGTTTAAGTAGGAAAAAAACAACATCCTATTTATATTCTAAAAGATGAATCTAACTTGTGATGAGAGCAAGAGTGGAAGCAGAGAGATCAGTTAAGAAGATATTGCAGCAGACCAAGCAAGAAATGAAAGAGGCTGCTTAGACTGGGGTATTAGTAGTGGAAATAAAGAGAAGTGATCAGATTCAGACTATTTTGAAAGATAGAATAGGACTTGATGAATGGAAATGGCAGGGTTAAGGAAAAGAACAGAATCAAGAATAGCTCCTAGAGTTAACATATATTGGCTTATCTAAATCTCCCAACAATCCTGTAACACAGATACTATTATCATCCCCATTTTATAGATAAGAATCCAAAAATCATTTATAAGTTTGTAGTATCACAGTTTTGCCCTGGGGTGAATATAATAGTGGTATAGTAAAACCCGAAACAGAGCAGATTATCTTCTTCCTCTTTCACTAAAATTTAGTGTACCTACTTAGAACAGAATCTGTTTTGGAAAATCTAAAAAATTTAAGAGAAAAATTCTTTTCATTTTTATTATCAGCTCTAAACAAGGCCTGAAGTCAGTCAAAATGTACTGAATATATCTGTACTCAGTACCTACACCTTGAAGAAGCTTTGACCATAACATTGTTATTAGATATTTTCAATGTTGCAGATAATTAGAAGCTGTAAGTACTTGTCCATTATTTTAGGTAGTTTGTTAATTATTTGAGGAGCCAACCCATACAGAGTTGACCAGCATACTTATATATAGACTTGACCAGTAAACACCCATATAGCATTATTAAAAAAACAATGAGCAGTCATCACATAAATTGAGAAATAGACCAATATGGTAAAAAGACCACAAACTTAAGAGTCAAATGAACCTGCACTTAGATCCCGACTCTACCACTCACAAATGGCAGGCCCCTGGACATGTTAGAAGAATCTCTGGGATCCAATTTTCATCTATAAAATGGGGATAATAATATCTACCTTGCAAAATCATTACAAGGATTAAATGAGATGATGTTAAACATCAAACAGTGCTAGGCACATAGCAGGTGGTCAATATTTAGCAGTCAACAAATAGTAATTATTAGTGGCTTATTATTACTAATTAATAAATGTTAAAAGGATATCAGTACGGACATTATCCATTAAGTCAATCTGAAAATATATTTCAATGTACTTTATTTCTATTTCATTAAAAACTTTCCCTTATCTTTTTCTTAAATTCTGAAACCTCTGAGAATCCAAAAAACTCACAGCTATTAGCACAGGCAAACAATTAGAGGAGTAATGACAATTAGGTTTCACTTTAGCCAGTTCTGAACTAACTGTGGTTGCTTCCCAGAGCCCACGCTTATAAGGACTCTGAGGCACAGAGAAGGACTCACCATGGCTTGGTAGGAAAATATGCCACAGTAAATTAGCAAGGCTTGCCATGGGCAAGGGAAGGGGAAGCATTCACACTTACATCAAATATTTGCAATTTCAGAACTAGACTATGCATGTAGGCTTCTAACATTAAGAAAACAAAACTTCCACAAAATAAATCTAGTCTTTAAGAGTATGTTTTAAGTTATAGGTATAAATGATAAAACGTATTTTGAGATTTTAGCCTGCAAGATGATTTCTGATCTGAAAAGTTATCCAAAATCAGAGCGCCACCTTGGAGGAAACCTACTTGCACTTAAAGTTACGTATAACACAGGGGAAATATAGAGGTTTCAAATCCAAGTGAACCAAACAGTGTTTATTCAGGCCATAATTCAAATTACTGACCTTCTAGCACTCACAAAAACTCCTTAAGAGTGCTGGGACTTGCACCCTAAGGACAAAATGAAAAATATCAATCAAGCACATGAAAGCACAAAGCTATATTCTGCTGCTTTGTTTATACAAGTGCTGCATCAGTGTTATATTTAAAATGAAGGCACCACATTAACATAGGTGGAAATCTGTCTACCCTGAAAATATACGACCTATTTGAATTTGAATAAAGTCCACAAATTCATAAATAAGTATACTTAATATAAAAGTCACTTCACCTAAAATAATTCCTAAGTAGCCTTACACAGAATTTGTGACAAATCCAAAGTGAATGAATAAGTCTTATTTTTAATTTGTCTTAAACATTTTTTTTTTTAAATACAGTAAAACAACTAAACAGTTCTGAGCCTGAAATCTCATGGATGGCTCATATGTGACTCTGGAAATAAACATCCCCTCTTATAAGCATCACAAGTCTGAAACCTAAAAAAAAAACAACTATCCATTCTCAACAGAAAATTCAGAAGAAAAAAACAAAAATAAAGATATGGCAAAGTCAATGAATTGAAAAAAAGTTCACAAACTTCACTTATTGGTGAGCACCCATCTATTACAAATATTTTTACATAAGTCTACCAAGGAAGACTTATATAAAATGCTATGGAGTGACATTTACTAAGCACTCATTATATGTACTATGTTAAGTATGTTCTATGAATTGTCTCATTTAATTCTCCTAGTCACTCTAAGAAGGACCATTATCATCTTTATTTTATAAAGAAACTGAGGCTCAAGAGAGGTGGCAAAACCAGTAATGGAACCAGTTATATTTATTCCTTCATTCATTCGTTCATTCACTCAACAAATAATAATTAGCACCTACTATATAGCAAGCACTGTTCTAAACGCTAGAGAATACAGTGATAAGACAAAATCTCTGCCCTTTTGCAACTTATAGTCGATGCATGAAATAGAAGATAAGTAACTGCAATATAATGTCAACTGGTTATAAGTATAGCGACTAAAAATAAAAGAATAAGGGAACAGAAGGATATGGATGAGAGGTAAGTGATCTTTTAGCTATAGGTTTGCTTTACTACTTCTCAAATACCAAATTAAAAGAGAAGACAAGTAGGAGGGAAGAGAGAAGAATTTACTGAGAAAATAAGATCCAGCAATGAAGTAAAAACGTTACTAAGTAAACCTAAATATTCAGAGTATAGCAGTTGATGCCATCTAATGTAGGGCCGGCCAGCCAAGAAAGCAACAACCATAACAGTATATGAAAAGTGACACTCGGAAAGATTATCTTGGAATTATCAAATAAAAATTTAAAAATTATGCTCAGTATAACATTCAAGAAGTAATCAAATTTAGTATTTTAATTTCTGTGTTTTAAGAAATAAACTTCAGTGAACTGATAAATCCACTTATTTGGAACAGCTTATTAATCAGCATTATAAATAAACAAAACACTGCTTTCTATAAAATATCTGGAAAGGAAAGAAGCTAACATTTGTTGAGTATATACTTTATACTTTTTATCCAATCTCACTTAATCCTCACAATGACTCCATAAGATTGGCATTATTTTCATCTCATAGATGAGGAAACAGATTTAGAGAGACTTAGGTCATACTAGAAGAGCTGGATTTCCAACCCAGCAATCTTTGACAACAAAAATTTTCATTTGATCTTAATACTGCATCATAATCCCCAACCTCAGATTAAAAATAAAATTATACCCCATGTATCAGTTCATTATCACTTCTAGTTATTAAGAAAATAATGATTTTTTTTCTATAGAGTGTAATGACATCTTTCCAGGAAACTCAAGGAGGTTCTTTAAAGGAACGTTATCACGGGACTAAAGATGTCACTGGTGGAAAGACCATATACTGAGTACAGAATTTACCTCCACTCTCCCCAAAGTCTCCCTCAAATAGTATGAAAGGATTTTTTTTAGAGGGAAGAGGCACATAAACCTGTAAGTCAAAACAAAAAAGAGACAACAACATAAAGTTTCAAAAACTGGAAAACAGACTAGCAATAACAGATCAAGCATCTCCAAGAAAGTGGAAATCAAACAGAAGAACAAAAAATAGGACAATCTGCATGACTGAATCCCAGAAAGACTCAGGAATTGAGAGTACCAGATACTTCTGAAGTGAGAGTAAAAGTGCAACTAAAGAGAGGAAAAATAGTTAAAAATTGGTTTAAGAAGCATTTAGATCCCTTGCTATCCTCCCCCACTCTGCAAAGGAAGGTTAAGAATTTTCTCTCTTAAGGGAGACTAACAAGGGAATGTGATGACACCAGGTGCAGCTGGAGGGGAGCAGGTACACTGAAAACAGAGGGGTTAAAAAAAGCCTGCATAATGAATGCTGAGCTCACCCAGCACTTTCTCTCCACTTACTCCCCAAACACTGGCAGCCAGGCTTATACTCCTCAAGGCAGGAGACTGGACTATCCTCCTCTGAGGAATATGACCAGTCCAAGAAAATGCCCTAAAGACAGTGACACAAGGTGGAGGTGAAAGGGTAGTGGATGTTTCTCAACAAAAGAGTCCAACTAGGTCAATCAATCTACAATGAAAGTCACCAGTCAACATGTCACACCCATACACACAGAGCTTTCTGTCATTTTTTTAGTGCTTACTTTCATTCATAAGCAGGCAGCCAGATACTTAAGGAAACTGAAATAAAAGAGATCAAGATAAATAGATAAAAAGAGCTTAAAGGTAAGAAACATGAAAGAAGAAAACGTGTTTTAAAAGTACCATGAATATCATCAAAGAATATGATTCTATAAAAGAGTAGGACGCTTGCTTGCTTGCTGATGATTGATTGATTGAGTTGGGGTCTCAGTCTGTTGCCCAGGCTAAAGTGTAGTGGTACAATCACAGCTCACTGCAATCTCCTGGCATCGGGCTATCCTTCTGCTTCAACATCAAATAGCTATAACTACAGGCACACATCACCACACCCAGCTAATTTTTTTATATTTTATAAAGATGAGGTCTCACTATGTTGCACAGGTAGGTCTCAAACTCCTGGGCTCAAGCAGTCCTCATGCCTTGGCCTCCCAAGGTTCTGGGATTACAGGCATAGCTACAGTGCCCGGTAGTGACAAAAGGTGGATGCTAGATTTTAAAAATGGAGGTTTCAGAGAAAAAGAGTTACTAGAAATTTAAAATATGAGAGCAAAAATGAAAAATTCCATAGATGTAGTGAAGAAAAAAGCCAAATGATAAAGAAAATAATAATATTTACAGAGCATTTACTATGAGCTAGCCTCTGTTGTAACTGTTTTTTATATTATCTCATTTATTTGCACCCCAAAATGCTATAACATATGTTGTTTTCCCTGTTTTACAGACGAGAAAATGTAGGTACAGAGTTTAGTTTTCCCACATTCACATAGCTAGTAGGTGGCAAAAGCTGGAATTTGAATCCTGGAAGTCTAGTTCCAAAATCCAGGCTTCTAACAGTTACATTAAAGAAGGAAAAAAAATGCAAACAAGTGGAAAATGGGAGTGAGAAAAGAAAATTAATGGATCAATCCAGGCAGTTCAGTAGGTGAATAATAGGTGGTCCAAAAAGAGAAAAAAATAGAAAAATGAAAGAAATGACACAAGAAATTGCCCATAATTGAAGGACATGAGTGTCCACAATAAAAGGGTCCACTGAGTACATAACCTAATGGATAAAAATAAAGACACATATCAAGGAACATTTCCTTGAAATTTCAGAACTCTGAAAGTTACTATAAGTTTTCAAAGAGAAAAACAGGATCTGAATTTAAAATGGCATTGAACTTTCCAAAAGCAACACGGGAAACCAGAAACCAACAGAGCAAAACTTTCAAAATTCGCAAGGAAAACTACTTCTAACCTAGAATACTTTACCTAACTAAATCAACAAGAAAATGAGAGGGCAGAATAAAGAAATGTAGTCTACCATGCAAGATCTCAAAAAATTTACTTTCCATCCACACATGTAACAAGTCACTAGAGGATATGCTCTAGCAAAATGAGTAAATGAACTAACAAAGGAGAAGATCAGAATGATGGTCAAGGTGTACAACAAGCCTGGAGAGTCATCAGAGTCCAGACTACCATGGGAAAAACAGAGGGCTCTAATAATATGAAACTAACAGAATACTAATGACTTGAACATATTTAGAGAAAATTTGGGAATAAATTAGTAATAGAATAAACAGAATTTAAAAAGAAGATTAAAAAGATACAATTATTCACTTCCTTAGATCCTTCTTTTCTTCTATGAAACACTTAACTCTGACAATGTTATTGCTTTGGCAAAGCAAAAACTCAGTTCCCAAAGTAAGGCCATAAAAATATAGGTTGGAAAATTTTTTTCTATTTTAATTTTCTTCCAAATGGCACTACAATTATAAAATAGAACACAATTCTTAGAAGCAGGAGATCTGCTAGCTGTGTCACATTAGGCAAGTCATTTAGCACCACTGTGTCTCATCTGCAAAAGTGAAATAATACCTATCCTATAGCTTTATGTGTAAAATTAAACAAAGAGATGTGAACATACCCAGCATAATGCCAAGCACATAGTAAGCACTCAGTGCATGTTTATTAAATCTGAATCACAACTTCTGAAAGAAAAATTGGCAGGCAGAGACTCCCTTCCACCACATACCTTCTGTGTTGTTGTGTTTGTCGTCTGTGTTGACGGTTTAGTAAAGGTTATTTTCACAGGAGACATGTGGGGTGGTAAGGAGTTGGCAATGCTCTGCATGATGTTGCTCATCTTGGGGCTACCACTCACAGGCACAGTGATTGTCTTTGAGACAGGAACAACAGCCTTTGGAACTTCCTTTAGGACAACAGGAGAGGAGCTAGAAGAGTTTGTTCGCCTTCGTTTTCTGGGTTTTTCATCTTCATCTGAACAGCTTACACCTGAAGGGCAATAACAAAACTGCTATATTTATACCAAACTTATCTTGCATTTTACTCTTTATTTTTGTGTTGTCAAGTCATCCTTGACTTCTTTCTCTCTCTTATGGCCGATCAGACAGTAAGTTCTATGAATCCTCCTTCAGAGATGTGGTCTCTGAATGCCTTCCACCTTTCTTTAAACCTACAGCCACTATTCCATGTCAGGCCTTCTTATCTCCTGCCTGTATCTTGGCAACAAATCCCTAAAAGATGTCTATGTTTCTGGTTTCTCCATTTCCATTCTACCCACCATCCTAATGCTAGTTACAAAATTTCATGTTTGATCATATCTATGCACTGCCTAAAATCCTTTAGTAGTTTTTATCTCCCTACAAGATGAGGTACAAAATCATTACCATATAATTCAAGACCCCACAGCTTTCCAAGAATACAATATCCTGCTACAGCCAATCCTGAGCACCCCTACAATCTTGGCATGCTGAACTGCTCATCATTCCCCAATGCCACCTTGTCACATTCTATCCATCTCTGGGTATCCATAGACTGTTGTTCTTTGGAGAATTTCATCTACCACCAATGACCTCTTCACCATCCTGCAATCATAACCCTGCAAGCTACCTCTTCAGTTAAGCTTTCCCTTACTCCCCTAAGCAAAGCTAATTCCCATCTTCCCTGAGTTATACCACTTGCCAAATGGCAATGTGATTGTTTGTCTACATATCTCCCATTATTAAGGGGCTCTGGGAGCCCCAATGACTAATCCTTACTGGTCTGTTTCCCCAGTATAGTGCCTTGCACATACAAAGTTAGATGAAGAAATGATTACATTCCAAACTAATGTCTGTGTGACTTCTGAGTATAAAGCAATAAACTTCCTGTTAATTAAAACTACATATTATATTAAACGGTATCTTCATGTTTGAGATACACTTTCAGTATTTAAACAAATGATTTTAAACCAGGCTCGGTGGCTCAGCCTGTAATCCCGCGCTTTGGGAGGCTGAGGTGAGTGGATTGCCGGAGCGCACGGGTTCGAGACCCGCCTGGGCAACTTGGCGAGACCTCATCTCTACAATAAGTCAAAAAAAATTAGCCAGGTGTGGTAGTGTGCACCTGTAGTTCCAGCTACTTGGAAGGCTGAGGCGGAAGGATCGCCGGAGCCCAGCAGGTCGAGGCTGCAGTGGCTGGGGGAGCAGCCACTGCACTCCAGTCTGGGTGACAGAGTGAGACTCCAACTCAAAAACAAAACATGATTTTAAAAAATAACTCTCTACAATTATTTTAAAAGACTGCCTTGCTAAATCCATAGAAATCAGATATTTACTTAATAGTCCTAGATTCTGTTTTTTTTTTTTATGAACTACATAAAGCTTCAACTGCTTTTGCAGACTTTTTAAAAATCAAGTGAAAATCATAAAACATAGCAACCTATGTAGAAAATCTCTACAGAGTAGATATTTAAAAAGTATATGGCATGACTCATGAAACTGGTAATAAACTATAACTCCTTACACCTTCGATTTTTCAGCCCTAATTTAAAAACAATGACCTGGAATCATTTCTTTCTAAAACAGTAAACTCTGCCTCTAAAAGTTACAAAGAAATAAAAATCAAATATTAATGATCTCCAGATGACAGTAAAACAAAGCAAAAAATTAAATTAAAACACCAGTTGAATGCAGTAGCTTACGCCTGTGATCCCAGCACTTTGGGAGGCCAAGGCAAGAGGATTAATAAGGCCAAGAGTTCAAGACCTGACCAGCTGAGGCAACATGGCGAGCACTCATCGCTACAAAAAAAAAGAATCAAAAAAAGTTAGCCAGACATGGTAGCGAATGTCTGTAGTCCCTGCTACTCAGGAGGCTAAGGTTGAAGGATCACCTGAGCCCAAGAGTTCAAGGCTGCAGTGAGCTGTGACATCACCACTGCACTCCAGCCAGGGTAATGGAGTGAAAGTCCGAGTCAAAAAAAAAATTAAATTAAAAATAAACTAAAAAAATTCTCGCTTCCTTAGTCTCTTTCTCCTGCTCCCTCTCTTTCCATACGCATACGCCCACTCCCTTTCCACTGTCCATGATGAGTTGAAGCAGTGTAAGGGCCTCACCCGATCTTGAACTTTCCAACCACAGAATGGTGAGTCATATCAACCTGTTTTCTTTGTAAGTTAAAATATAATAATAACAAAATAAATTTTAAAATAAAATATAAAGCAACACTGACAATAATAGAAATCAAAAATTAAAAAGTGAACTGGACGTCAAAATGTTTCACAGGGTAGAATAAAGCAATTTAAAACTGCAAATAAAAGAAACTTTTAAAAATTACAGTCAACTAAAAATATAAAAGATAGAATGCTTCACCAAATCTAACAGTTGGATAATACATTATATAAAATAATTTAAGAAAATAGTACAAAGATTAAAATTATACGAGTAAACATTGAATAAATCACATAAGCACATTTCTTCAGTCTCTCTTCATTACATTTCTACTCCATGACAAGCAAAAAAGTAAATTATTGAAGGATAGCACTGTTCAAAGGAAAATTACCCACAGAGAACAAAAAAGAAGTCATTTCTCAAACCCCAGAACTGATTAAAAAGCAATATACACCAAGTCATATGTAAAGAAAGAAATTATTTAGAACCCTCAAAAACTAATCACTGCTAATAACTAGTGGACCAATGATTTAATCCAGGAAAAGCAGATCGAATAGGAGCCTATACTGCAGCATTTAGCCAAGATGGCCCTGATAACACTGAGAGTATCACTTACTTTTGACATAAACAGTACTTCCACTTGGCAAGACAACTACATTGGAGGCAGGACTGGCAGGTCTTGGAGACTTAACCGTTGCTATGCTGCCACTTGGAACAGGGGTAGAGGTTGGGGTTGACGTGGTACTTGTGTAGGAATAGCAAACCACTACTGAAGGAACGATAAAAAAGTTTGCTGTTAACTTTCACCAAAACTGTCCAGGCATACAGAAAAATTATTTTTATTGCAGGCCAGTTTTAACATTTTCATGTGATGTGAAGTTAAAGTCCTGTACCAAGTATTAGGTCCACAGATTAAAAGGTAGTAATAAGCTTTCCAGAAACTCATCACTTAAATGGGTTTTCCCCAAGTATTTTAACAGCTTGTCTACAAGTGACATTGCCACTGGAGAAGAATGCAGTTACAAAGAAAACAAGTTTAAAACTATACTGAGAAAAACAAAAATCATTTTTCACTCATGGCAGGAGCTGGACAACAAGCATGTACTTGTACTCCCTTTTAATACTAATAGCAGCATCAGTGATGGAGTATGGATCATTTTTCCCTACTTATAACAATTTCCAACACAGCTGCTAGGAGAGAACCAAGGTAAGATTATTTTATATAAATCAACTCACAAGTCATTGACTATCCAAACAGTGCAACAATAACTCAAATAATGACAACATCATATTTCAATTAATCATTCAATGAAGGCACAGTTCAACAGCAAGAGTAGTTTATAGGCACCGTTTATGAGTACCACGCTCTATGCTAAATACTTTCCATACATTTTCACTAATTCTCACAATGTCACATCCTCATTTTAAAGATGAGGAACCCAAGGCTCACAGAAGCTAAGATTTGCTGGAGGTCACATAGATAGGAAATGACAAACTAAGAATCAAGCATGGATCTGACTAGTAAAAACCCTACATTCTTTCCACTCTACCTACCAGAGAGATGGTAGATAGAGGAACCCAATGAAGGCCAAGTTTGCACAATGATAACTGTCTTCCTCCAAATAAAACAGAGCCTGGCATGCATGAAGAGAGTCTCACTCTACTCCACAGCCCATTGCTAGGCAAGCAAAGACAATTCCCTAGAGTAATCTGACAAATGCATTGCTTTCAGGGTCACTGTCATGCAACACCAAACTAAGCCACTGGAGTCAATCCAAATACTGTATGCTCTCTCAAACTTAATACTACTCTTGGTGGACTCAAGAAAATTCAAGGATTTTTAAAATAGATTAAATATCAATAAGAAAGTTCTTCTGTCAGGTAATGGATTCAGCACATTGACCATTACAGAGAAGCAGCACACATCACTCATTTCAGAAAGCGAAAACAGAGCTTTATTTTCTAAAGCTATCAGTTCAGCATCATTTTTTAGCAGTTAAATGACTCTGTCAACTTATTTATTTTCTAACGTCATCCACGAAGGCCTCCTATTCACTTCTAACAAGATACACTGATATCAAAAATTCATTCCTAGAAGGTTTCTGCAATTTTGTGATTAACATAATTCATATGGTCAACAAAAGAAAGATTTAATTTTGTCTGAAACTAAAAACCTGGCAGTTTTTAGGTTCAGAATCACAGTTTCCCACTATGTTTCATAACCTTTCAACACTGGGATTAAAATAAATAAAAAATAAGACTTTTCTTGAAGATTCTGAGAAAAGTTATCTCGAACACCAAAATATTTTTCTACTCACCTTCCTTGCTTCCTGTTTCTGCAGGCACTGGAAGAGATGCATTGTGCTGGACAGCTGCATTAGCAACAGCATTAGCCGTTACAGTAAAGGCAGTTTGGGGAACCAGCCGGGGCATCAATGGTACCAATCGACGACCTTCAATGGACCATTCTGAAGAGCTATTAGGTCCAGACATACTAAACAAAAAAGAAAGTGCTGCTACAAGGATTCTCAATCACTAAAAACAAATCAAATATATTTTCTCAAACAAATATTACTTTTTGAATTATAAAAAGTGCCCTGAGTGAATAGGAGAGGCTTTATTTTAAGCAAGCAAGATTAAAATTATAAATAATTAGAATTCAAGGAATGTCACATACTTGGGTTCTTAAAAATTTTATTCTATAATCTTAGTTTTATCATGAACATAAATTAAACTATGAAAAAGAGTAAACTAAATAAATAATGACTTTGGTTTCATTAATTTAAATTTGCTATCACTAATGAAAACTAGTACCAACTTTTAGAACTTAATTTTGTAACTAAAGCAAGAAAGTAAAAGGCACTGATAATTTTTAAAATCAGATTTTCCTTAATACTTAAGGATGGAATTAACTGCATTTATTAAATTATCTAATTGCCTGCATGGCCAGAGGTTCTAAGGCTTTCAAACAAGGGAAACTGAGGCAGTAAACGAGGGGGAACTAAGTAGTAAAGGACAGAAGAGGGTTGTATATATAACCGCATGTGTCACTGACAATGTATTATGTTATTATATTCCTGACAAAAATAGACTAGATCTGAGGACACTGGAAGAAAACTGCCACTATTTTTATTTATTTATACCTCCCTTCACTCTAAGAGGCAATTAATTGGACTCTATCCTGAAGCAGAACCTACTCTCAGCCTTTCTACCCTAAATTTCTTGAGAAAATTTTATCTCCAGAATCCAATCAGAGGTTGAAATATCAAAAGGTAGTTGTATCACTTCTCTTGACTTGGCTCCATGAAAGACCCTGACTAATGATTAGTGTGGAAGTTTAAAATTCACCCAGAAATAATCAATCTCTTCACTAAATCAGAAATATTTCTGAAACCATAGATTCATCAACCCATCTTAGAGTTCAAGACTCTTATGTCCACTGATGCTTCAGATTCAGATCCGAAGTATACAAACAGCCCTTGTTAGTGGGCAGTGGAATAATGGTGATGGTGGTGATGATGATGGTAATGATGACAGTTAACATTAAGCACTTACTATATGTCAAGCATTATTCTAAATATTGTATATCTATTGACCCTCAACAATTCTATGAAGTTGGTAGTATTATTTCCATTTTATAGATGATGAAACTGAGTCATAGAGAGGTCAAATAACTTGCCTAAGGACATACAATCAGTAAATGTCTCCTTCAATAAGCTTAATCCTACTACTGAAATTATCTGCCAAGTAAGTACAAAGTACAAAATTTTTCAGATGGGTTGCCTTTGATGTAAACCAATTAGGGCTGTTGAATTACTATCAACTTTCAGTGAATGAGTAAATTACTTTTACAACTTTAAAAAGATGTAAGTTCCATTCAGAATGTAAGTCTAGGAGTCGATGAATCTAATTGGGTTACTATGGAAAATCTGTAAATTCCCTCATGGTTTAACACAGACCTACCTAAGACAGGGAAAAGAGGAGTTCCTAAAACCCCTATAGCCCTCACAAATTTATTATTACATAATCTCTAAGTTGATGCTGTTTTGAAAGAAAAAAATGGTACGAACAAGAATGAGAGACAGAAAGGGGCTATAACTAATTATTAGAGGGAAAAAAAAGCTAAAAGCTATTCAGCATTTTCTTAGCTTACTCCTAGTTTGCTATTGTTTTATTTGACTCACTGATAAACTTGCTTCATGAGAGTTTACCACACAAAAAAAGTGATGTCTACACTTACCTGGTGTATTGTTTAAATGGCAGCAGAAATTATGGAAGATTAATAATTTGAAGCACATGAATATATGCTATTGAAAAGACAAAACGTGCAGTGCAAAAGACACAACTGCAACTTTTAGAAAGATCTTTAAATCTTCCAAATTTCCACTCATGCAAACATGCTCAAACTCTGAGAGTGAAAAATTAAATGTGTTAGAATTAGATTAAAAATTCCTATTTGCTTAGTAATGAAGATATACGTGTAAATATGCATTAGTTGCACAAGTCATTTAAACTAAATTTTGTAAACCAAACATCTTCCTGCAGGGCTTCACTGGGATACTTTAGTCTCAGCGTAAGAATGTCTCTCTATTTATACTGCATGTGACAAGGGAAACCTTGCTCTAGTCCCTCTTCTGAGAAATCTAAGATGATACTGATGAAACTTCCCTGGCCCTCGCATCCTTTGGTGTGCAAGGCACCAGTAAGAAACCTTCAACCTCACACAGAAACTCATACTGTATGAGTTGTGGATGTTTGACTGATGGGGAAAGGTTTAAAAGAGTAGATATCCCAGATAGCCACTTTCTTCTAACTCTAGAGACAATGTGGGCAAGAGTGGTCCAATTTTAAAAATCTGAAGCTCCTTGACATCCAAGGTTTTAATACTGCAGCATTCTGACATAATTCAAAACTGATTAGAGTATCAAACTTAAGTGGCCTGGTGCCAATAATAAACGCGTGTTCTGCTTCAAGCCACAAGAAAGGCTTTCCTTTGATACCAGATACCCCACTCCTTTTGTTCCCCTTCCTTTGTGTTCAATCTTCTAGGCTTTCTCACCACCTTTCAACTACATTCCTTCTGGCCTAAACTGCTGTTTTGAGTGGGGGAGGGAAGGGAGAGGAGAAAGGGAATGCAGTCAGTTCAGATGCATTCCTCCAGTTGTTTTTTCAGGCTCAGAGTATAAAGCCTTCCTATAGTTAATCTTTGGAACTAAGCTCAGTTGTTACTTCTGAGGGGAAGAAGGCAGAGGAGATGGAGAGAATGAGGGATCTGCTCGTTCCTCACCAATCCCCACTCACTGACCCTTGAGCTCAACAAGTAAATACAACGTCTGGTCAAACTAAAATGATAATACAAAATATTAAAACAGGGCTACAGAAAAACCTAAGAAGCTTAAAATTATACACTGATGTAAACTCTTTTCAAAAAAATGAAATTCATGTATTAAAAGAAATCAGAAAGGAGAGAAAAAAGAGGAAAACACAGGCAGATAAAAGCCAACTCTCAATTATCCATGCTAATGGAGAGAGGAGGGAAAGGGAGAGGTTAAATAGATTAAAGAAACTCATAAATAATCCAAAAACATTTTGGCAAATACTTGTAAATTCTTCCACCAAACCTTCTCCAGGACAACTAACAGGCAGTAAAATGACTAATTAAAATTTTCACCTCCTCTCCCTTCCCACCCTCTGACTAGAGGTACTCCCAAGCAGCAAAATGGCTAAAGGGTGGGCAGCATCAGGAGGGGGAGGAGGGGAAGAAAAGGAAAAGCAAGGGGCATGGTTAATTCATAAATGGAATAATGTGCCCCTGAATAATTGAGAGCTTCAATTTGGAAATAAATACAAGAAAAAGCCTGAAATAATAATAACCTATTTGCATACCTGTAACTTGGTCTTTCACCCAAATATAAGGATAAATTCATTCTTTAAAGGGGAAAAAAGGAAAAGGAGACTAAATAAATGTTATCCTTTAAGTATGAAACTGACGCATCAACTTACAACTAATTGCCCCACAATACTCTTCCAATGCTTCCACAGTACTAATTTGTTTCTAAGTGCCTCTGAATGCAAGCTATCGCTTACTACTTTATTATCTAGCACATAAATGTCCTATTACTAGTTCTCGAATTAGAAACTAGGCTCAGTTATCATTACTTCTAGAACAACCCAATTCAGAAGTGTAAAGTAAATTAAAGGAACACATTAAACATTTGACTGTTTCAACCATGTTAGCCTGAAGAAATACTAATTGTCTCTAATGGAAAATTTTGAAATTTCTACAGTGCATATTCTGAAGAATCTCAAAATTCCAGAATAAACAGCTAAACCTTCAAACTATGCTGTCAAAAAGGTAGCACCCCATTTTACATTAAGTAAAATGAGGGACAGTGAAGCACAACATGAAACTAATGGATCCTTGGGGTCAATTCTAATACTACTAATTGGTTTAAAAACAATGTTTAAAAAGCTATCGCATTATGAAAATACACTCAATTTTTTCTTTAGTTGTATTTCACATTAAAACAGAAATTAAAAACAAATGAGCTATCCTATAACATCTTTCTTAAAATGTTTCTATCCTCTTGTCCAACATGTAAAGGCTAATTTCTATTCCTTTCTGTTCTTTAGGAGGCACTGTCTCCATGCATACTCAGTTAAGGCTTGATCCCTGTCCTCAGTCCTCCACCACCCTCTACCCCACCTGTGAAACAGTTATCATTTGATAAGAATTCTTAATCATTTTATTTTGTTGACTTTCTAAAATAAACTGAGCTGTTACATTCATATTTCTTAAAAGCAAACATGCATTTTACACATTTTTCTGAATCTCAAAATACATAAAATAATGCCCAGATATCAAAAAATTATGATGCCTATGTATAAAGCAATAACATATCAAATACCATTACAAAGAACCTCTAAGGGGCTGTTAATTTTAGGGGGCATACTACTCTGTTATTGAACTTTGCTTCAAGTTATGTATCATCTGTTAAATTGTGGTGGTCTTAAGTTATACAGAGATTACATTGTAACAGGATTTGAGCTGAGTACTTAAAGCTTGCCTAACCAAATGTAAAAAAAGCAACTAAATAAACAGTTAACACCACTTTTCTGCTATGGTCAGTATCCCTGAGTACAGAGATATTGTTATGAAGATAAAAGACTCAGGAATATGCTATACAATAGGAAGACTGTTTCAAAACTACTTTATACTATGTCATAAAAAGTCAGGGGTGGTATGACTAATGGCTTACTTATGTGCAATTGTTGTTAACCGTTCATCGTTTACTGCTCTCCGAACTTCAGCACGGTGGCGTTCTGTTGAGATGCTATGAAGAAAAATAGCCATTATAGAACTCTGCCAAGCAGGCGGCTCTTTTCTACACTTTTATTAATGTTTAAGTCAACATTTTGTTTGGGGAGGGGAAACAAGATTGCTTTGTGAAAAGATATAGACAGGAGCCTAATATATATCTTCAAATGCTTTAACATCTTAGAAAAGGATTCATGCTAATTCTGTGTAACTGCAGGAAGAATTAGTTGCAAATTAGAAATCATAGGAAAACAAGTTCAGCTTGATATCAAGGTATTATTTCCAAATCTCAGAAATGTCAGATTATGAACAAGATTAGCAGCTTCCTGTTATCCAAACATGCAAACAGATGCTGAATGACCTCCTAATCATGACTGGTGAGAAGAGGATTTTGGCACTCAGAAGAAGTTCTTCCAAGGTCTTTTCTAAAAATTAAGAGTCTATAACATTATGTACAATTAATATAATAAAGAAATGAGAGTAGCAAGATAATCTGTTTCCTGTGGTTGTATGCTAAAAAATTTAGCACCAGGGTAATACTCCTGTATTACTCAATACTTCAGCAGTGGGTCTTCAACATTTTATCATGTTACCAATGGTAAAAATGTGTTTACATTAATCCTGATTAAACACATGAAGTTAATAACACCCATTCCATTCACAAATACACAGTAAGATGAATACTACTCTTCCAACTGTATTCTTTACAACTAAGTAAAACATTTTTTTTAAAGTCAGAGTCTCACTGTCGCCCAGGCTGGAGTGCAGTGGCACGCTCACAGCCACCGCAGCCTCAACCTGCTGGGCTCAGCTGATCCTTCCACCTCAGCCTTCCAAGTAGCTGGAACTACAGGTGTGCGCCACCACGCCCGGCTAGTTTTTCTTGATTTATCGTAGAGACAAGGTCTCACCAAGTTGCCCAGGCTGGTCTCGAACCCCTGGGCTCACGCAATTCTCTCGCCTTGGCCTCCCAAAGTGCTGGGATTACAGGCTTGAGCCACTGCGCCCGGCAAATAAAATATTTAAGGGACTAGAAAGCAGAATTTACGAGGAAATATAAACAACAAACAAATAGATTGTTAACTATGAAAACAATAAGACTGAGAATTTGGCTTAATAACATCCCTATATTAATATTACTTAAATAATAGGGAAAGCCTCTCCCATGTTTTCACTTAAAACAATAATACAAAATGGTTTTAGAAACGTCAGTTAAAACACGACGTTTTCTGAAAAAGCTTAAGATGTTAAAATGAACCAAGGCAAAGTACCAAGGAAACCCTTTCATTACAATTTTTCACTAAATTGAAGCACCCCTCTAGTGGGAAGCTGAAGGGATAAATCATGCATAAGGCCTGGCCTGCATAATCACCACCCACTTACAGAAATTAAGACATCTTCCTTGCACCCCTCTTCTCTTCAACAAATGCCAGTCTGTATCTTTGCATCCTGTTGCTATCAGCAGTTCTTTCCTTCACCTATGTCAAAAGCACCTCCCTTTCCCAGATGGTCCAAAATAAAAATAAGCTGCCTTAAACCCTTTCTGATTGGATTACCCAATAACAAGTTATATAATTTTCTGTGACAGAGCTCACAACTGGAATGGGATTTCTAAGTACTAACAAACTGAATACCTCTGTTCTTAAACTTGAGAGTAAAAAGTAATGAAACCCTTCAAAATGAAATTTCTAGAGTCATATCTCATAAACTTTTATGATAATTTACCTAAGAACTTTTGAGAGTTCTCCAAGAAGATCTTTCTTTTCTTTGGTGAGATCCCCCTGTGCCCGAAGTGCACTGATAACTCCAGCATATGCCTCCAATTCTAAAAGAAGAAAATTATTTTATCAAAATAAGCCTTAAATATTTTAATACTATAGCTATGTACAGTGAAGCTTCAGGGCAAAAAAAAAAAACACCTAAAAATAAATCAAATGCAAATATATCTTTAAATTCCTTTCAAAAATTTTATCTAATAACATTAAAATGTAACTTTTATAATTATATATCATTTGGGGTTTTTTTGCCCCACAGAAGTCATGTATGTAAAATGTTTAGGTAGAAAAATTTAACAGTAGCTATTTTGTTTCACACATTGTCACTGAAGAACATGTATCACAAACACCGAGAAGAGGTAACAACTGGGAACAGGCAAGTGATGTCATAAAGTTGATAAGAGAAGTTTTTAGCATTACTGAAAGAGGATACCTTCACTAATCAAATTTTTTAACTAGTTCCTTAGGCCTAAGAATTCAAATTATATTCCACCTTCCTCCTGGGTTGAGAAAACTGTGAGTACCGTACAATAGATAAAATATTAGAACAAAATATTCTGGCTCCAGCACTGCCACTTACTAGTTGTGTAACCTTGGGCAAGTCCTTTCTCATCTCTAAACCTGTTTCCTTATCTAGAAGGGACTTTGTAGGTACCCTCCGGAAGAAAGATCCTCCACATCTATAAAAACCATCACCAAAATGACTAATTTGGAAACAAAATGTTCCCATAGCAACCAGGACATAATATACTGAATCCTAATACCAGAGAGCTTCATTTGACTCTTTCCACAGAAACAGTTATTATGAAATAAAACCACCAGTCCCTAGGACTGGTAAAAATATAAAACCAAAAGTCCCTAACAGCTCCCAATGAACCATGCTTGACTCCCATTGTAGTCCTAGGGGATGTCTTCTCCCACACAGCCTTGGGGAATTTCTTCTCCCACATAGACTACAAGCTTGGCACGTGACTTGTTTTGGCCAATGGAACATCAGCAAACATGATGTAAACAGAAACTTTACTAAGCACTTGCACTCTGGGCCTTACTCTTTTGAAACTTTGAGATCACCAACGTGTGAAGAAGCCCAGAATGAAAGGCCACACAAAGAGAGAAGTCTTTCAGTTGAGCCTAGTCCCCAGCTAAGCTACCAAGAGAACACCTGAGAGAGCTCAGACAAAGCCTGCAACCCTCAGACAAAGCCTGCAACTCTCTAGCAAACTAGAATGGTGGGAAATAAATGTCTAGAGTTATTTTCAAATACAAGTTCCTATAAATATTTGCTATTTGCCAATGCCTGACACAGAACAGAAACTAATGAATATATGAATGTCCACAGACTAGGTACTACACTGAAAATAAACTGGTAATCTCATTCAGTTCATATTATTTACAGTTCTATCAAAAGAAAGCTTTATATAGAAAAGTGGACTGACTACATTAAATAGTAATGTCTGGTCCAACTGAATTACTCCAAGGTAAACATCCTGTATGTTCAACCCGTGCTGGATATTATTACAGATATTTCATGAGCTCTGCTGCTGAGAGTAGTAAAGGAAATACTTCCAGGAAACTTTTATCAGATCCAAAAGAGAATACAGAAAGGCAGTAGGGATAACTAAGTATTCACTATACTCTAAATGTTTATGTTCCCATTTATGGAATACTATGTTAGTTAACAAATCAGTATTGTGTATATCTATCTATCTATCGATAGATAGATATACCTTAAATAGTGTGCTAAATCCTTCTTCAAGAAGTTAACTCTAGAATAGTGAGCTACAGTGAAACAAGTCATCAGACAATTATGATACAGTGTATACACAGTGGTTAAGACACAGAGAAGAAACACATCATCTAGTCTGAAAGTATAAGCTTTAATCAGAAAGAGAATTGTGTTGGGGGAGATGCAAATGTACAAAAGAAATACAGGAAAAGAGCAGATAATGTTTCATATTATTGCGCAGTACTTCTAGTAACCATGACTATGTTTGAGGGTTTTACCCTAATGGAAGTAAAAACATGTCTGTACTTGGAGAGTCATTAATTCAAGTCGAACCGCTAACTGAACAATACTACTACAAGGTACCATGGAGAATAGGAGCAAACTCCCTATCCTCAAAGTGATTAAAATCCAACAAGGCACCTAAAAAATATATAGACTAACTATTTAAAAGATCTTAGTTCACACATACAAGGGAATAGAGAAAGGTAAAAATGAAAAAGTAGTTTGTGGTCAGACTGAGCAAAGCCTCTAATTCTAGTCTAAAAAGTTTCTGATAGGACTCAGTAACTGACTGTGGAAGTAATGGTAGAAGAAAAAGAATCAGGTTTTGCAGTTTGCAAAATGTTTAGGAGAAAGGCAATGCCATAAAAATAAATAAAGAGATCAGGGAGGAAGTAGTTTAAGGAAAAAGTAAAAGTTCACTTTTGACCTGCATAATTTATAATGATCAAGACACAATTTCAGAGAAAACAAAATTAACTAAAGAATATGACAAAAACTTTTGACATTTCAATACTAACTAAGAGTCATGCACAAAATAGAGAGAAGGCAAGCTCACACACACACAAAACTGGGACTCACAACACAAGTTACCACAGCTACTGGATTCAAGTCACCTCTTGCCCTTCACCAGAAATTCATTCATTGTCAAGGCCCCTTACTAGCTTCCCAACCTCTTTCACATTTGTTGATGTCCACTTTGACAGATAACCTCAGAATCTGACATATCTCAAACTTACTTGAATTTCTGGTATTATATTTGGTGCCATCCTACTGTAGTGTTAATAACATAAGTAGAATGATATAATAAATGATATGAATAATAAATACATGCAAACACCCCAAAAAACAAAAGATCTACCCAAACCATTTTTATAAAGCCCTCCATCCATTCCATTTAAACAAATCAGCCATTCAATTACAGTCATTCTGTAAAACTCCATGTTAGAGTTACTACTCAGGAATGGTCATAAAAATAGGGCAGGAGAAAAGTAGGATAGAGAGAAGCAAGCATTTACCTATCACTGGTACATTCAATATATCATAAAGAAATTACCTACCCCAATTTCTTTATACTTAAGTAAAACCAATATGTTTAGCTTCTTACATTAAAGTGATTTATAACTATTTTTAAAAGGACAAAACTAATCTTTAAAATATATTTTAAGCTAATTCTTAAATACAGTACCTCCTCTAAACTTGAAACTTACAGCTTTGTAGGCAATTCAAAGGTTTCACTGTTATGATAATGAGTCAACGGGTGGGGAGGATGTCTTTCAGTAAATCACTATTAAGGCTCACCTCCCAAAGTAAAGGGTCAAGGAAGATGGCATTACCATGGAAGATAACTGTTTTCTTTTGTATAGAAGCAGCTCGGCAGCAACATTACCCACACCACTCTAAATTTAGTCTTAAGGGTTACCATTTATATATATATATATATATATATATATATCATCCTTTTTTTAGTTTTTTTTTGCGAGTTGGAGTCTCACTCTGTCGCCCAGACTGGAGTGCAGTGGCCGCTCCTGGCCACCGCAGCCTCAACCTGCTGGGCTCCGGCGATCCTTCCGCCTCAGCCTTCCAAGTAGCCGGAATTACAGGTGTGCGCTACCACGCCCGGCTAATTATTTTTTATTTTATTGTAGAGATGAGGTCTCGTCTGCCCAGGTGGGTCTTGAACCCGCGGGCTCAGGCAATCCACTCACCTCAGCCTCCCAAAGGCGCGGGATTACAGGCTGAGCCACCGAGCCCAGCACCATTTCTATATTTATAGGCATAATCTCTCAACTCAAGGCCTCAAAAACCCAGAAACCCTAATCCAATCTACTGTTTTTGTGGTCTGTGCTTCGCAATTATTGCAGGTGAAATAAACACGAGTCCAACTTTATAATTGGCACCTTAGCAAGTTATATTAATTGCATGTAAGTGTGTAGAAAACTATCTTCAGATTAGTACTAAAAGTTTGACTATATCGCCGGGCTCGGTGGCTCAGCCTGTAATCCCGCGCCTTTGGGAGGCTGAGGTGAGTGGATTGCCTGAGCCCGCGGGTTCGAGACCCGCCTGGGCAGCGAGACCTCATCTCTACAATAAATCAAAAAATCAGCCGGGCGTGGTGGCGCATGCCTGTAATTCCGGCTACTCGGAAGGCTGAGGC